GGCGGCCTGTAACCCCCGGGTGTGGAAGGGGGGTAAAAATGGCGTGTGTTTATAAATATGTACGTGTAGACTCAAAACGAGGGGTCGGTCGGGGCGCCGGCCCTGGGCCGTGACTGGTCTCCCCGGAGTCGGGCGGGGCGCAGGCCGGAGCGGCGCGGGAGCGGTGTAGGTCGGTGGCTGACGAGGGGCTGTGGCTGTGGCTGTGCTCCCTCCCTAGTGCCAAGAAGGGCAGAAGCCAGCAAGAGTCACGCTGGAGGTGGCTGAAGGCAGCGTTCCTCCTCTCCTCTGCTGCCGTCGGTGGTCTCCTGCTCTGGGGCTCCCTGAGCGCCGAGGAGGGGGTCACGGAGGTGCTGGCTCATCGCAGGGAGAGCCTGCAGGACAAGTTCGTTGAGGTCCCCTGCTCCGAGGACTACGACAGCCACAGAAGATTTGAAGGTATTTGGACAGGGTTGTCTGAAGGGGGATGAAGCAGCCTTCAGGGGACTGCTGAATCTGCTAAACCACATTTGTACTGCAAAACTCCTGCGTTTTTAGCAAACACCTGGGTGTATGGGTTAAGGCCCTAAATGTTCATGCCTCTTGGGCCAGCCCTGGAGTTGTTGCAGCTGAGATGTTTTTCTGTCATTCCTAGATAATTCCCTTCTGAAACTGCTTTGCTCAGGCTATATGAAATAAACCTTTTGCTAAATCTGTTTCTAATGTCTTTTCATACTTTGTTGTTTCCTGTCATACGCTTGTGGGTGAGTTTGTTACTGGTAAATACCATACAGGGCGTGGAATGGAACTAATTTAGGATATTGTCTATGCTACTAGCATGTAATTGCATAAATGTCAGCTTCTGATGCGCTTGTTTTGAGATGTGTGCATGTGCTGGCAGCTTTTGATGCAGCCTACAACGCGCTTCTCTGTCTTTATGTCTTTCAGCTGAGCCTGTTTTCTGTCAAATTGGTGATTGCTTCCCCAGGCACGTATTTCTTTGGAGTGTTGATGATGGATGTTCTAGAGAAATGGAAGACTTTCATTTTTTCTCATGAAGAGCAGTGAGAGTTTAACTTGCGGTTTGTGTGGAGGAACTATGGTGATGTTCTCTTTCAGATTTGCAAAGTGTATCTTGATGAGTATTTAAAGTTGGTACTGCTGCCAGAAAGCAGCGCTGTGCCTGCTCTGTGTCAGCCTGCCTGTATGTCTAGCTGTGTGTTGGCTGATAAGCTATGCCATCTAAAAAAAAATATTTGAGTTAGTTTTTAGCTAATTGGTTGTCCTACCTCATTTATTATGTGGCTGACAAAACACTTGCTGACACAAAGCTGGAGGCAGTATGGAGGCTGTAAGAAGCTGCTTGGAGCTGAGGGAGAGCAAAGATGGTCAAAGGGCTGGAGAACCTGCCCTGAGAAGAAAGGCTGGAGGAGTTGAGTCTCTTTCTCCTAGAGAAAAGAACGCTCGGGGGGACCACACCACAGTATTCCGGTACTTAAAGGGCAGCTGCAAAGAGGATGGAGGCTTTCCCTTCACAAGGAGCCACATGGAGAAGACAAGGGGCAATGGGTACAAGTTGCACTGGGCAAAGTTTCATCTTGATATAAGAAAGAACAGTCGATCACTGGAACAACCTACCTGGGGATGTAGTAGAGTCCCTATGACTGGAGGTTTTCAAGATGTGATTGAACATGGTGCTAGATAACCTCATCCAGGCACCCTTTACCATGAGAGGCTAAACCAGGTGATCTTCTGAGGTCCCTTACAACTTCGGCTGTTCTAGAACTTTACGATTTCTAACTTTCTTCCAGTGCCAATCCTGGTAGAAAGTGCTCATCATACTGCAGCCTGGATGTGGTGCCCCAAAGATGTGGAGGTAATTTCCCCTGTCTTCTTCAGGTGGCTGGTCCTGGTGCTGTTGGTCGAAAGGCTTCTAACATAAACCAGAAGTTTGTGTTGTCTGTGGTCAGATAGTTTTTCCTCAGTGCTGCTACTGGAGCATCTTTTTTGGAGGATGCATCCCAAATGTTATTGAGGCCAAGAAAACTGCTGTCTGGAAGCTACCAGCAAGAAAACTTCCTCAGTAGGGAGACTTTTTGACTGAGCACATGAAAACACATGTTCTGTTTTAACTTTTCATAGTTACTACAAGGAGAAGCTGCTTCTGGCTTTATTTGAGTAGTGCCAAAGCCAGAGAAAACCGGGCAGCCAGTGTTGCCACAGACGGTAGTTATGACTGTACTAAGGCTAAAACTGCATTCTGCTGCTAGGGTTTTTCTTTATCTAAAGAAACCCCTGAAACCAACAAAACCTTATTTTTCCCTTCCCTGATTCGCGAGAGGAATTTTCTGAGCTGTGGACTTGTGGTCTTGGCAAGCCCATCAGTTATTCCTTCCATCATAAGGAAGGCAGGAACTTCAAGGATATCTCTGCCTGGGAAGAGGAGTGAATGTGTTCTCTGTTCTTGTGATGTCCTGGGGAGCAAACTCTGCAAATGCCAACTGCAGGGTGAAGTGTGACCTCTCTTGTCATTGTATGAGAATGATTGACCTGGCTGGCATCAACCCAGGAGGAACAGAGGGGAGTCCTCATCTGTGGGTGTGTATTCCTCTGTTCTGTTTAGATGTTTGCTTGCTGCTGTTTTCTTAACTTATGTGATTGATTTTGGGTTTTAGCAGATGTTTTTACATGTGTTTCCCCGTGCTACGCTTTCAGAAAGAGATCAGTGGTATTAGAAATGTGTGAACATCTGTTTTGTGAAGTGGTTAATTGAAACCGTGCTGTGATAATGAACTTCGCTCTTGTTTTTTAACTCTTGTCTCCTGCTCGGTGCCCACAAGAGGGTGGTGGTGAGCTGCTGAGCCTTGCTGTCCCGTCCAAGCTGAGCTCCTCGCTCCACGTGTGTGTTACTGATAGCTTAGCGAGGCAGTAAATGCGGACTATGGTTCTCTGCCAAACTGGATTCGGCTCCGGAGCTTTACTCACTTTGTCTGAAATGGCTTTCTATCACTCAATAGCTCTTCATTCTCTGTTTTTACTCTGGCTTGACACCCACAGCTGCTGGCGCTGTGTCAGAAGGAGGCACATTCCTATCATCACTTGGTGTCTGATGCTCAGCTGTAAAGTTTCCACAGCTAAGATGAGCTTTTTGTTTATGCACCTCTCCCTGCTTCAAGCTGAGCTAGTGCAACTGAGCTTCAAATGATAGGATGTCGCGGAGCAGTGGTCTTATTTCCATAGCGCTGCTTGCCAGTAAACGTGCTTCATAGAGAAATAAAATGTGTTATTTTTCAGAAGCCAAGCACTTACCTTATTATATTTGCAGAAGATAGGGTGTTCTGTGAGCACAGTCTCATCTGCATTCTGAACCCTGTGGCCAGATCTTGACTATTTCTGCTGTCTTGAGTCATGGTTAACTAATTATAACTACTGTGGCTACTAGTGTGTCTGACGAAACTCCTGCATAGTCTCTTACGTGTGTTGACATATTGTATCAGTGTACAAAGCATCCGTGGTCACTGCCTAGGAGACAGCTTTAGGATGCTTTTCCAGAGATTAGCTCAGTGGATGTGGAAAGCAGAAAGGTCTGTGAGGAGTGGAGCAAAAGGTCGAGCACCTAGACTGCTGGTGGGATTGTGGGGGTGGCATCCACTAAATCTTTGCCTCTTCTTGTCCTGCTTTGAGATGGATTGTGTTAGGGGAGCATCATGATGGGGTGCTGTTCTCACATGAATTGTCCTGGTCTGGGCAGCGTATGGTTCTTGGCCAAGTGCCGCTTTAAGTAGAAGACAAAGCTGCATTTTTTAGGTACTTGGACCCCTGTGGTACCGTCTGTGTACTGAACAGGAGCAGGGGCCATAGTGTTTCTGCATGTTTTGGTATGCTCCTCCTTTACCTTGATTGAAAAAATACAGCTCTTGGATCCAAAGCCAAGTGCATTTTTAGATAAATGAATGTTTTTTTGTCTACTAGGCACAAATTTGTGGAAGCTACTGGGCACTTTGTAATACTGAACTGAATTTCTTTTGAGTGCAGATTTTCCAAGTACACTTTTAACACTTCAGTGCCCCTGTGTACAGTGGTCTCTTTGGCAAAGATGACACATTTCTTAAGGCTAAAATTGTTTTCAAACAGACTATTCTGATTTTTCCTTAGCATTCATCCAGTGTTTGCGCCTTACTGATGGTACCTGCCTGGCTTTACAGTGGACTATCTTTTTCTCGTTTTTCTTTTCAGTTTGGAAAAGCTTCTGCTGTTGCCTTCAGAACCCCTCCTGCTTCCAGTGCTGTCTTTGCCAGTTCTTTGTGAGAGACCCTCGACACATAACAATTGTCAGAGGCAACACTGAAGTTTTGCCAAATCTGGACCCCGCAGTACCAACCTTTCCAAAAGGTTAAGATCTGTCCTGTTGTGCGCGCCTGGAAATAGCACAAATCTCTTCTGAAATCAGAAGTCTTTGCTAGTGTCCTTTATCCAGAATCTTGTACGCAAAAACTATTTAGACAGGTTTGTCCTATTGTATTGAAATTCTCCTTTGAATTTATACTTTCCCACCTCTTCTCTCCTTGAACATCTGGTTTCCCTCATCTCTAAAACAATTTTTGCCTTTCAAGCATTAAAGAGACCTTTTCAATGGCAGAAGGAAACTCATTTACCCTCTTGTCTCTATTAGCCAAGAGAGCTTCCTTGTTTTTCTGTGTTCAGCTTTCTCTAAACTTCTTAAAACCTCATTTTTTTTCTATCAGCCTGTTGCCTCAGTCTTTTTAATCCTATTTTTTTTTAACAGGACTATAAAAAAAAAAGGGTACTGCCAGTATCCAAACTTGTGCTTTATAACATTGTTGACATCTTTACACCCAAGGGAACATTGGGTACAGTGTGGAGTATATGTTATGTAATCTGTGAATGATTACGGTTCAGCAGCAAATCTTTGAGTGAGTCTTATGGTTACTAACAAAAGGTTTGGTATGCTTTTTTCAGTTCTGGGAACCCAAATTGGTTCCTCTTTGGCTGTTGGTTTCTTTTTTATATGCGTCTGAGTTTAAAGTTGGTTGCTGGAAGCTGTTATTGCCTCAGCCATCTGTCTCACTCTTTGGGTGAGTATTTGCTAGCCTGGAGGCAGAGATGTCTCATCCCTGTCAGTTGGCTTCTGAGATGCTCTTCAGCCTGGCATTCAAAAGTGAATAACTGGTTTTAATCTGCTGCTGCTGAATGCATGATGGAGCCTTTAAGGCACAGCAACATAAAATGGGTACGTTTGCAGTGTTTGCTGGCTACTACTTGTTGCTTTTCAGAACTGCTGGGTCATAGGCTCCAAAGGAACACAGCATTTCCAATGCTTGCATTTTTATTGCTAGATCTGCAGTGCTTAACTTGCAAATTGTTGGTTCCTGGAATTGAGATTGAAAAATGCAAGTATTTGCACAAAAAACCCGTGCCTAGCTTTTTCTGGTTGCGGAGGGGATATTTACAGTGTGCCTGAAACACGGCACAGAAGCTCCCTCTCTCTTCACTCTTCTAAATTTGTAAATTAGGACAACTTTCTGCCTGTAAAGCCCTGGTTGGTTTGAATTCTGTACCTTAGGGGTAGTACTGTATTGCAAAGTGGTGGTTAATGTGCAAAGCACCTGTGGGTTGCTGCCAGAATTTGTAGTTTTTATGGTGCTTTTTTTTTTTTTCTATCAAAGCACTATGGTTTCTGATGAATGGTATATTTTAATTTCTTTAGCTCCCAGAGTCAAGAGGAGAAAAGCGAGCTGCGGGAGCAGTGGTTCTGGGTCATTCTTGTCACACTGCTGGGTTCTCTGCTGGCACTGGTAAATGAATGCTGAAGAATGTAATCTCCAGTGTTACTTTAGACTGCTAGTTTCCTAGGTCATCTTCAAATAACAGCGCACGCTCCCTGGAATCTGAATCTTGAGCCAACTTCAGTGAATTGTTGCTGGGTAGTCAGAGAACGCAATGAATTATCTGGGTTGTAATCCAGTTGGTTTCCTGACCTCGATCTGTGTTTAAACATTCTGCTTGGTGTGGGTGCCTTTGACTTCAATTTAAACATATGTCAAACAAGGGATTTCTCTTTTCCCAAGCAAGTAAACAGTGTGTATAATTTGGTATGTTGTTGTCAGTACTCAGCCTATTCCCCCACTCATCTCTTTCTCATTGCTTCTCTCTCTTCGCTGGTGTAATCGGAAGGCTGTATTATCCAGTAAGATGGAGTGGAAATTCCTACAAAGCACTAGTGCTGTAGCAAAATTTCTCTTTCTGTCAGTCTGTGGTCATTGTCATTGTTAGTTGCTTTTGATCAGCCCAGACTGATGGTTTTTGACTTGCATGGGTGAATTGATTGATTTCTTTCCAGGAGTTTTTTTTCCCCCAGTTTTGTGTTCTGATGAGCAAACTATCCTTGAAGAGGAGCTCAGTTCAGCAACAGTGAGTATATTGGGAGATGTCAGAAAATACACTCATCCCAACTTTTCTGTGGCTTTACATCTATATATGGATCTTCCCCAGTGAAGTGCTAAGTGTGACATCACAAGATCTCTGGTGGCTCAGAATTGATCTCCTTACTGGAAGGCTGTGGACCAGACTTCTGATTTTTATAAGAACTTTCATATATTCTTCACCTGGAACTCTTACTGCTTGCTTTTTTCCATGAGCTTTTAAAATCTAATGTTAGATTTCTTAGCAATGAATTTTAAGAGACTTTTTTTATCATGTCTTGAAGCACACAGCTTGGACATACACTTTTGTGCAAAGTCTCCTATAAATAGCTGCCCTTCAAGGTATATTTGTATAGACACCCCATACAGAATGTTATTTGCTTCCTTTGGACTCGTGTGTTTGGGGGGTGGGGGTGGGTGGGTGGGTGTGTGAGAATCTGAAATATGGTGCTTTTATTCTCCTGGCAGTATAGTTGGAACATTCAAAATCACTGCTTTTTTACATTACCATTGCTTTTCCCAGTGTCTTCCAGTGGACAAATACAATGGTTCTTAGTGCTTGACTACAGGAATCTTGGTTAATAACTACATGATTTAGGGTTGAACACCAAAATACAAGTTAAATTAAGTTCTTTCTGTTGATACATGAACATGTATTGATACATGAATACATGTATAGATGCTATGTAAGGATCCTATACCTGTTCTGGAACCCTTGTTATTAGTAGCATCTTGTTCATGGTTTGAACTGTTTGTGTTCTAGCCAATTTCTTTTCAGTTTTTCTTTTGTGATCTCACTCCTGTCTGAAGGGCATTCTCTCTTTTCTGTTATTAGCATGGTGGTGCTCTGGTGTTAGTCCACTGCAGTTTGCACCTAAGTATGTCTTGTCTTCTCCATCTCACTTTTCTCCAGGACAATTGAGTTTCTTTGTCTTCTGGAGACTGTTTGCTTTTGGGACAGAACCCTTTCTATGTTGTGTATTGTACTGGACCTTTGTGCGAGTTGAAGACTTAACTGGATTGTAATAGAAAACATTTTGCATATGGACATGTGATATTAAGTGGGTTTAGTTGCTAGAGATCTTGATTTTGGAACTGCTAGAGATCTTGATTTTGGCTGATTTTGGAACTGTCAGCCTGAGATGGAAGGATCCATGTGGCACTGCTGAGCTTTCCAGTCCTTGCCCTGCCTGTGCAAAAGTTAGAATAGAGCATATAAGATGAAATAATTTTAAGATCATCCTCCTTTCAGAGTCCAGTTGTGTAAACAGGAACTTTTGTTTTCACTACTGCACTTGGGAAGAAAGGAAAAAAATCACAGCATCTATGTGTCTTGCTGCATGTCCATTGAGATACCAGATGCCTCTGATACCACCTTACTAAACAAAGGCCATCTTCTCCAGCTTGAAGTCGTAGATGTGCAAAGGAACATCAGTAACTCAATTATAATCCCAAAGTTTGTAACAAACTTAAGGTTTCTAAGAATTACTTTCAGATCAACGGGAAAAGCAGTTTGTTTTTAAAGGCACAGTATTGCTGTGCATTTTGCTGATCCTAAGCACTGGAGGCTTTGGGTCGTGCGTGACAGCCACATCTCTGGTGGCTGTGCTGCTTTGGGTGTTGAGATTCATTCCTTGTAGATCATCTCCATTCTGTTGAATTGCATGATGGACATAGCAGGAAATAACTTGTCAGCTTAGTTGGTGTAATTCCCTTGGATTACACCAACCAGCCATGGCAGGGAAAGTGATGTAGCTTAGATGAGTCCCGGGGACTTTATTCTGTGGGGAAGCAACAGTGGCACTGGCTGGCTTGTCTTCTCTTGGATGATGGCGGCGCAAAACACACCAAAATGAGATGTAACTTTCCTGTAGTTTAAGCGATCTAAAATATTCTGAGATTGCCAATATCCCTTCAGAACATTGTGAATCTGAAAGGGGAGTAGGACAATATTAAGAGACTTGTGTTGAACCTCGTTTGAAAGATGATCTCTTCTTTCTCTTCCTCTTTGTGTTCCAGGGTGCACTCCTAGAAAGTGTGGAAGAGGCGTAACGGATGCAGTCATCACAAGGGAAGAAGCTGAAAGAATTCGCAGGTAATTTTTCTTTTAGCTCTTAAGTTCTATGAGCACTTACTTCATTGACAGTGTGCCAGTGTTTAAGGTGTAGCACAGAGTTCACTAACTGAAGGAGGATGGGTTAAACAGGTTAAAACACTAAACTTTTTTTTTTTTTAAAAAGCCATTTTTGCTGTAGTGGAGGCAGTTGTCTTTCATGCCGAGTCTGCCTAGCTCTGTGGGGCATGAGTGTTGTAGAGAAAAAAGGAAAATTAATGAAATAAGTTTTAAAGAATTTTCACGTGGCCTTCTGTTCCATTTGGCCATGAGCCAAACAACATCAGCCTCCTTTCAGCTGCGTATCTGGGTAGTTATGAGCTAGTGCTGACCCTGTCGTCCTCTAAGAACACGAAACGGTGAGTTTTAATCAAACAGTAGGGGACACTGTCAAGCTCTGCAGTTAGAAGTGTTATCAGCCCCTTTGAGTGGGATTTGTACTTGATAATTATGTAAGTGGGGAATATCACTGTGATGGTGGAAGCGATAAGCAGCTCATATAAATGTTTTGTTCACTAGTCAGGGCGGCCTCTCTGTGATTGCCAGTTCAGTTGGACTCCTGATTTTGATAAACCATTTCTGCATTGTACAGGTTTACTTGTACTGCTCCTGAGAATCAAGATCTCTTGGGTTTTTTAATGTTCAATCTTACTTGGCTGGAATGTATTTGAAAGAAAATGTTTTTTGGGGGGTTTATGGAAGGGCGCTACGAGCTCAGAGATGTTCTGCAACATAGATACTTTATTTTCATGACAGGCTGCAAGATTGAGTTAATAGAAGCTGCCGTTTATTTGAAACAATCAGGTTATCTGATGCATCGAATACCACTTACTGAAGAATTACGTGTTGTAAATAATGACATTAAAGGACAAAGTAATCAGACTTCAGTTCTCATCTGAGGTTATTGTTTTGCCTGCAGAATAGCAGAGAGGGGACTGTCCTTGGGAGGATCTGATGGAGGGGTGAGCAGTGTCCTGTTACTTTTATATTCTTTTACTACCAAGGCAAGGTTATAAATGCATTTTTGGGGCTTGAGGAGAGAAGATGGAGAACTTTTCTTTCCAGTCAGACTTGGAAAAAAAATTTGTTTGGAAAGTTATTTTATCTCCCATTAATACTTCTGCTAGCAGTGTAATTCGTGACTTCTGCAATACAGTTGACATTTCCTATTATGCAGTTTAGTTATTTCTAGCGCCTCTCTTGAACTGATTTGTCTTCTCCACCTGGAAACAGTTACTATAGCAGAACTGCACAAGTTTGACTTGTGAAACTAAATTACAGTGGTTCACAGCATCATGTAAAGACTTTTTTGTGTAGTGGCAAAAAAAATGCCATGTAATGCCTTAAGTGGACCTTTGAATAATATTCTTTAAAAATGGAAACAAACCCACTTCTCTTTAACAAGCATGTTTATTTTAATTTCTTTCCCCCATCTTTGTTCTGACAATGTTTTTGTATATGAACAGAAACTGTTTCTTGAGTATTTGTAAACACAATTGTTTCTTTAGGCCTCTGCGGAATTAGGGCATATATCAACAGAAAAAGAGAAAGGTTTCAACTAAAAAAAAAAAAAAACCAAACCCAAAAACCAAAAAAAACCCAAAACTTTATTGTCCTTGTGCTTGCTGAGGAAGACCTGCAAAAAGTATAACCTGAGAAACTTAAGCAGTGCTGCCCATCTGAAACAATATATTTAAAAGACTTTACATTCTCTGTTTGGTTCTGTCATGTTCCTTGGTTGTTGTTTTTTTCCAGTTCTGTGGTTGCAGGGTTTGCCGTTCCGCCTGTGGGATCTCCGGCATAACTCCTGTCATTAGAGCTGTCAAGTGGGTTCCCTATCCTGTTCTTTTGGGACCTATATGTGATTTTTTTCTTAGACTTCCACAAAGAGGGATTATAAGGGCAGTGTATGACACAGACAGCTTCATGGGTTTGGACTACAGAAAGCTGATGTCCAGTTGGAGGTCAGGGAAGTGGGGAAACTGAGGCAGAGAAGGCGCGGAAGAGACGTGAGGGGAGGTAAACTTGCTGCTCAATGTGCAGAGCTGGGATGGGGTCCTGAGCTGGCTTGCTCAGACAACAAGCCAGAGTATCAGACAAATATAAATCCATCTTCTACATCATTTTGGAAGCATCATTGTGATTATTATTTTTTTTTTTAAGGGAAGGGAAATGGGGGAAGGTGGGGGGACATGATTCTATGGCTGCAATAAAGTAAGTCTGTTGGGAAATCTGATGTCCATTGAGAGGTCTGGGCTCTGATCCAAGGCTTCTCACACTTCTTACAATCTGTAAACACGGGAAACCTATTGCATGCTGTTACTCCTTAGGGAAAGGTGCAGGACAGAAGTTGTGTAGTACTGCATTGAGGCCTTACCCAAAATAGCAGCTAAACACTGAAAGACACTAAAAACAAGAGCAGACCAGTGTTTCTGGGAGATCACCTTTAGGAGAAGCCTTAAATGCAGTCTCTTTACCTGGCTGCTTTTATGTCTCTTTTTCCTCCCCTCTTCTCTGTTTTCCTCTTTCTTTTTCGATGTGCGTGCTTGTATTCCCCACATCATGGAGTGAATCTTTTCCCAATAGTGATATCTTGGGTCCCAGATATCATTATATACTGATGATATATAGATGAAACTGTCTTTCTTCATTTGAGTCTTTTATCTTTTCAAATCTCTTGCGTACATAGCATACAGAATGTTTCAAGTCTTACTTCGTCTAGTTGCTTTGCCTGTATGCCTGTCAAGCTGCAAGCCTGTGGAATTAGGTCTGGCTTGTTGCTTTAAACTTCTTAGACTTTAGAATGTTTGGATAACTCTGTTCAATTATGTTTGTTGTTCTAAGACTAATTTTTTCCTTCAAAATTCCTTAAATAACTCCTTGTTTCTGTTTAATTCTTCTTAATTCTTTCTTCTGCCACTTTGATCTCTCTAATCTTCCAAGTAAAACTTCTTCAGATTTCTGCTGGGGTGCAGACTGTGTTTTCATTTGCTCTGATTTCCTCTTAACCCCCTTTTAAGCAACATGTCTGTGTGGGTTTTTTTTTTGTCATTGTACTTATATTTTGAATTCACAAACTGGATTTGTGTCTATGTGTCTGGATATAATTTATTAAAGACCTAAACTTGCAGTTTGTGACTCTCTCGATTCTCTTCTCCCTTTTCTGCTTCCTGGAGTAGTGAAGCATAGCACAAAAACTTGTTTCGCTTTCCATCCTTTTGTGTTGAGAAAGTCCTGGCAAACATCTGAATTATTGAAATCTCCCAGGAGCCATGCCCTGGTTGTCATGCTGAGCTTGCTTTCTTATCTTTCTTTGTAATTTTTCCTGGATTTATTTTTATTTACTCACACACACGGAGTGAGGCTAGAAGAGGCCATTGTAATCTTCTAGTTTGAGTTTGAACAGAACCCAGAGAGGAATATCTTCTCCACCAGTATGCTGCTTTCCCTGGTGTGTCTCTGAAACAGTTTTATACTCTGTTCCTTATTCAGAGAATGTGAATCACATTAGTTGTCTTGATGTTTGCCTCAGCTTAAGTTTTTTTTCTTCTTTATAAAGGTAATCACCTTTCCCTTTCTTTCCTACCTAATGTTTTCTTTCACACTTCCCCTGCTTGTGTTACCACTTCAGTCATGACTCACTCATTCACATCTTTGTAGGTGCTGCCGTCATAACATCTCTTCAGAGTAAATGAGTCGTTTCATTTACTGTGAGATCTATTGGCATTTATTTAGAAGCCCCAGAAAAGAAATCCCTTGGTGCAGCCTGTCAGCTGCAGTCTGTCTCCTGGGTGGCAGCAGAACGGGGAGGAGCAGCCACCTGGACCTCCCTTTTGCAGGAGAAAATTACATTTCTTAATCACGGGGAGAAGCCAACAACCTGGGTAAGCTGTGATGCCCAACAGGGGTTTCTGATGTGGCTGCGCTGACCCATGCATCCAACCGTGGTTCTGCAGACCACATCCCGTCTCATTCTGCTTTCAGCCCGCCCAACCAAACTCTGAAGTCCTCAAAATGCTGTCAGCTTGGTGTTTCCCAGGGAGATCATAAAGCCTCTGCCTAATACTTGTCCTGTGTCATACCTTTACTACAGGCTGTGTTGTTTTCTTCCTTCCTAATTAGCCTCCTGATAGCACTTAGGAAACACGTAGTTGTGAGGAGCAAAAGGCATATGTGTCAGTGTGCCTTTGGCTTTGCTTACAGCTGTGTGTCAGTGTGATTAGCTGGATTTAACTGGAGGGAGCTGGAGAGGAACTGGTTGGGTCTAATCTGTATCTAGTGTAAACTTGTACTGCATTTCGGAGCCAAACAATGCATTTGATTTCCACAGTAATAACCTGTGCCTCCAGCGATTTGAATGATGCATGAACTAGATTGGTTACAGTTGTGTCCTGTAATTAATCAGTGTAACTCTTATGTGGCATCACCCTAAGAATGTAACCCTTGTCTGTCTGCTCAAGATTCGAGTCGGGAAGGGTATGCCAGGGTGGTATTGCTCTGAGAGGCTGTGCAGGACTGTGGGCAGTGACAGCCCGGTCGATGCTGCCCGGGAATCGGTGGCCATGTAGAACCTCCCTTGCTCTTCCCTCGGCTCAGCTCGAGGGTGCGAGCGCTCCCACGGGAGGAGTGGGGACGGTTTTGGGTGCCACCAGCTTCTCTATAGTCTAGCAGAAGTAAGTTTTTTTTGGTTTTTTTTTTTGTATTTTTCCCTTTTAGGCAATATGTCTGCTGTTTCCTTTAAAAGTATCAGTTAAAACTTTTTAAGGAGTGGAGGAATTGCTGTAGGTGTACTCAGCGGTTGGCAGTCCCTTGCAGTGAGGATCAGAGGCAGGGCCTCTGCTTTGCAGGATGGGGAAACGGATCCTTTTTGCCATACGCTGAGAAATAGTTGCATATTCCTTTTGAATCCTTTTAGCAGTGAGAGGGTGGAGAATGTTGGACTAACAAGGCTGAAGGAGCAAAAGAACATATATTTGTGCTTTTTTTAAAGGAAGCGAAGTGTAATTTCCTTTCTATAGAAGTTCTGTAAACCAGGATATTGGGGTAGTTCTGTTAAACGATCTCTCGGAAACAGGGGTGTGGGTATGTGTGTTTGCAGTGTTCTGCCATCTTTAGGTAAACTCGGTAGAGCTTTCACCCCGGGAACGCTGCCCTGACTGGCAGGCTGACCCTTGATCAGACAGCTGAACTTGAAGTAACGGTGTTGACACGGGCTCCCACCAAGGTGGTATTCTCAGTGGACGAAATGATGCTGAAAATGTTTAATGTTCTGAAATAGCAGTGGCCAAAATAAATGTGTTTCAGCTTCTCTCCAAGGTAGCTGCTAAGTAAATAGAAAAAATACTCTTTCGTTTCAGATTCCCTTTTGAGTCATCTTTATCTGGCTTTTCTAGGCTTTGTATTGTCGTTACTGTTTCAGCTCTGAATACCGACAGCTCTTGGGGGTGTCTTCTCAATTCATTTGGTCACTTTGGATCTTCCCGATTGTAATCATCTGGTGCTTGAAGAGTGAGAAGAAATGTGTGTTTGGAAAGCATGTTGAATGTATCTGACAGGCAATTTGTTTTTAAATTAAATTCATCTTTTCAGATGTGTCCTGCTACTTCTCCTTATGCTCTACTTCAACATGATCACAAGCATATTTTTGAAGCTACACGGGAGCAGTTTTACTACTTCTTGCTGTAGCTTAGATTATTGTACAGAACCAGGAACCAATAAATGAAAACATTTTGCTTCTGAAGCTTGAGTAAAGCTTATTACGAGAGCTGCTCTTGCATGAGTGTGAGATTACTTATTTCCTGAACAGTCTTCTGAAGCTTTTGGACAACTTCTATGGGAAGAGGAGGTCTGAAAAGCTCATGCTATGTTCACTTGAATAGCTTTATATATTTTTAAAGCTTTGTTCAAGGGTAAATAAAATGATTTGGGTATGTTTCTTAAAAGAAGGTTGTTACTATCTCCTTTTAAAAGGAGACTTTAATGGAGTTTTCCTGATTCAGTTCTGAAGCGCAGAGCAATTGAGCCTGCAGGAATTTTCTTTTGCTGAGAGATGGTCATGGGTGTCTTCCTCCAACTTGATCCAGAGGAGGAGAGAGAAAAGTGCTTTGAGACCAGGGGTGAACGTGAAGCTGTGTCACTAGCCTGGTGTCGCAGCTCTGAGACGGCTGGGCGCTGAGGACTTGCTGCTGCTGCTTCCCCAGTCTGCCTTTGGGTAAAGGCACGCAGTGGCTTCCAACAGTGCTGTTCCAGCCATGCCCAGAAATTCTTGTTGCTGGTAAGGTGGAAGTTATCATTCTTTCCAGGCAGCTCACCCAGTGGTATTATTGTTGTTTGGATTTTGTTAGAATAGTGTGAATGTTATGTGGAGCATCAAGAAATGCCAAATTCCAAGATGAAGGCTTTTGCCTGGATATTGCATATCAAAGATGTCATTACTTTGGTGCCCGTCAGGTTAATTAAATCTTACTACTTGATATTTCCAGTATAAAAAAAGGAAAAAACAAAGAAAAAACCCCAGTATTTTCAAATACTGTTTAACTGATGCAAAACAAACATGTATTTTGTGGACAGAGAGGGGCACAGAAAAGTGTACTTGATTCAATTTGGTGAAATAATTTAGAGTCCTGAGAGGTAGCTCTCCCTCCTGGCAAATCTGAATGCTGATCTTTTTAGCTTGGTCTGGAGCTCAGCAGAAGTGTTTGGCTTGAATCATATGAAGAAATGGATTGAATTTTCATATGTAAAAACTTTTCACTCTGGTTTTCTTTTGCAGCCGTTTAGAAATCGGGGGGAAAAGAAATTTTGGTTCTAGTAAGCCTTAGAATTATAATTGTTCTTTTAAGCAGACTTTTATAGCCATATTAAATATGAGAAGTATACAGGAACTCATGGTGAAGGAGAAGATTTAATAACAAATGTTGGGCAAGATAAATATTAGTGCTGCTATTTGAGCGCTTCACAAATATTGGAAAATGAGTCATCTGTGTGTGGAAGGGAAATGTCTTCAAGAAGGGATCGAGGTACACAGTGTCTTAACCCTAGCCCACATTCTCTGTCAAATTTGAATCTTGGGAATAGCAGTCCTGTGCTTAGTTTGTAGTACCTTAATCTCTTGTGCATCTATACAGCAAGCTGGGGGAGGTCTGTAGTTGTAAAGTGTTAGTACTGTGAACCCAAATGCTAGAAACTAATATTTTCACTTGGGAGGCTGTGGAAAGTGAGAGCCAACTTGGGACAGTTATTAAAGGTCATAGTTAAATAATGATAAAACCTTTTCATGCTCTTTTTCCTACTTTTTTGTTTCTTTTCCCAGGCATCAATTTTGGACTTGCACTCCGGAGCTCTTTCATTGGGGAAGCATTTTGTGAATCTGTACAGGTAAAATCGGACTGTGGTTTGCTGCTTCTCTTGTTATCTTACACTGGAGGGCTCGTTGCCTTTTCAAGTTTCTCAAGCCCCGTGGGAGTTAGCAATGACAAACTGTAGGAGTTGGTGAGATTCACCGCAGTTTCCATGACCAGTTAAAAAAAACTTGTGGCATGAAAACCGATCTTTTGTTGAACTGGGCTCTTTGAAAGCTACCATTACCTTTATTTTCAGAGTTCTTCTTACACCAGTAAATAATAGTATTTTTTCATGGTTACAGTCTAGTTTGTCAGCAGTGGGAGAAATCAAGTAGTCTGAACTCCTAAAAACTAGAATCCATGTGGTTATTTCATGATGTGGGAGGGGACTCTTTTCATGCCTGGGGAATTCCATTATTAGTTGCTGCATCTTGATCCTCTAATCTTTTAAACATTTAATGTTTGAGCAAAGCTTTGGGAACAACATGCTCAAGCATTTGTAGGATTTCTTTGTATTGGGTTTTCATTTATTGATTGTGGATACAGCACAGATGGCAGTCTGATTCAGCAACTCCTCTTTCAAACTGTTATTTAATTTTTCAGGTACTTTGGGGACAAAATTCAAGACATATTCACAGAAGAGGATTTTGCATTATATCGGTAAAGATTTTCAATAATTGCTAAATGAACCACAAAACGTATCTTTATGGTTTTGTGGTTTTTTTTTTTTTTTGTAGAGCGCAGGTTGGGAGAGAATTGTCCTTTGGATTCAGACACACAATAGAATCTGAAGCTCAAAAAAAGTAGTCTCTGTGACAATTAAGATGCCTTGAGGAAAATAAGTAAAAGGACCTTTTGTTGAATACCTGGTAATTAATATCTGCTGCTCTGAACTTAGCTGTGGTGCTGATGTCAGGACAGTATTGATAGTGTAAATGTAACAGAACGATGGTAGCAGCACACATTTCCCTGTCTGCGTAAGGGGTTGGTACCAGCCCTGCGAGCGAGCAGAGCTGCTCCATCCGAGTTCTGTGGTTATTTGCTGGAGCATTACAGCTGGATGTAAAATCCTTTAGCACTAACTCCTGTTTCACACGTGTTATCCAAGAGGTGTTGTGTCAGATGATAAAGACAATCCTATGCTATTATTACATTAGGAACTTGGGTTTTTTTTGGGTGAAGTGTAGCAAAACGTTAGTAATTTGAAGTCCTTCCACTTCCTGCTTTACCATTTTTAATGTTCTGGCTGGAGAAGCAGAGCATACTTTCCCCCTAAGAAGCCAGAATATGAAATAGTGCTATAATGTAATAGCGTTGGCATCTGATGCTTTTAGCTTTCCTGTAGACCTGCTCATATACTTAACGATGACAACAAATGTAATGAGTTCCATGTGGCTGTGAGGGTATGTGGCCAAAGTTTAGGAACAAGCATTCTTTGTTGACTAGACACAATAAATCTTTAGCTATGCATTTCAGTTGCTTTCTCATAATTTAAAATGTACCTGGCTTGAACATTTTAACTCTTTTTGCCTTTTTTCTTGTCTTTGTGAAGGGATGTGACCTCCCTCTGGTGGTGGAAGTAATATTAAGTAGCCCAATATGTTTATTAGTTTTATTAGTATAGTAATTTCATTTGTCTTATAATATTAACCACTTAAAACTTATTTGTTCAACAGCTATTTTTAGATACTGTTGTCTTTATAGATGAACTTCTTCAAAGTGTGTTTAATTCTATCTCCATAATCACAAAAATGGGACACTTCCTTGATTATTATTGAACTTTGACTGTGTAAAGACATAGTTTCCGCCTCACCAATATAGTAGAGAATATTTAGAAAATAATCTGCTTTGACTTCCATTCTGTAGAAGATCAAAAAATCTGAAGAAATAACGCGAGTGTATGGAGGAAGTGTCTTACTAAAGAATATTTCTGTTTCACATGAAGATAAGCATTCAGTTTCTCAATTTTAATGACTTTCTGATCCTTACACTATAAGATGAGACAGCTGCTAGGCAGTATCAATATTTCATTGGTATTTTGGGCCAATAAAGGGGAAGTTTCAGTCTACTGGATATAAATCTAATACCAGATATTATTAAATGCTTCTGTTCATATTAATGGCAGTGCTTTAACATGGGCTGTGGTACGTTTTGTCCTTAATGAATGATTTTATGCTATTCTTGGGAGCATTTATCTTCATTACTTTCACTTACCTACCAGGATCAGTTTAAAAATACACTCTTGAGAGAAATAACTAAATGTAATTCATGTCTAAGTATTACTGATTGCAACAATAACAAATCTGAGGAGGCATTCTGAGCCAGGAGGCTGCTTTCTAAACTGTCTCTGTCAGAATTATGTTGCTTCAGAATCAATTATGGTTTCTAGGCTGATGCTTTAACCACCACCTGCCAAAGATATTACAGCAATTCCTCTTCTTTCACATAATAGATGCATCTTTATCTGGAAGAGAGACCTTTAAATCTGGATGCTTGGTGTAAGGGTTGTGACTTCAGCAGAAAATGACACTATCAAAGATTTATTCCAAAAGTCTTACAACTTACTAAGGTAGAGACATAGAGCAGAGGAAGAGCTGATAGTTTGCTTTCTCCCTTTATTCATTCTGCGTGTGTGATTTCTGTTAAAACTCTGCGGCTGTCGTGCGTTGCTGGGTGTGCTTCTCCTGCCGTTGGTGCTTTTCACTGGAGCAGTGTGGAGATGCTGACGAGTGGGCTAGACAAGTTGTGTCGCTCTGCAAAGCTTTGAGTGTTCCTGTCACCACACTTGAATCACACTTTTCAAGTGACTCCTAACAGCGCATTTTTTTTGCTGGTTTGGCAGAGTTTGTATGTTACAGAAACTTTTCTGTGGCACCTCTAGTTCTTTTACTCAGTCCTTTATGCTGCTGCTGATATATTAAGCTGGCAACTTTACAATCTCGTGAACAGCCTTTCTCATCAGTTGTATGTTCCTTAAACTTCTCGCTGCTTCATTGGCTTTTCTTTTTTCTTCTTCATCGCCCTGACTCCAAAATAGATTTCAGTAACTGCTTTTGAAGGTGATGATATGCTCTTTTTGGGGAGTTCTGTTCTGCCTTTCCCTGAGTGGCCTGTGCATTTTGATATTAGCTGGTGATACAGTGCAAATGTACAAGGTCTGCTGCTGACAAATTCTGGGGGGGATCCATTCGTTACTTACATTATTGACTGGGTGCTCTACTCATTTATTGCCATAGCAGAGCTCTGTTTAGGGCATCTGATTGGAGCCGGGGTACACCCTAAGCAGTATGAATGATAGAATAGTTGCTGCATTTATGAAAATGAATGCTTACGTTCTCCAGCATAAAGTAGTATTTTCTTTGTAGCTATAGTACACCAGAACTCTCCCAACAGTTTTTGGTATCTGGGGAACATGGAGGAAAAAGTATGAAGAATGAGTGGGCCAGGATCGAGAAGGTAGGAGGGGTTCCTGCTACCTCTGGGTGTGTATCAGAAGTGGCTGAGAGGACAACGGGGCTCTTACTGCACTAGATCCAAGGTAGCCAGAATTTCTGGGCTCATTCCTTCCTTGATAGCACCTTCTAAGCTGAAATTTGGCTTATCTTGTCACAGGATTTACACATGAAGTACAACGTGTTTCCCTTTAGGTATTTTATCAATGGTCTGTATAGACTGCATCTGAACAGCAGGGAAGGGAAAGAAAAGCTTCCAGTCATGGTACTGGTAACTGTTGAAATGGCCAAGTCAGTGGAAAGCAGCCTGTATGGCAGAGTTTTTATAGGCTAAAAAGTGACTTTTGACTATTTTGAAACCAGCTACATGCTGCATTTGGCATACCCTGAGCACAGAATGAGCTGAAGTAGACAGAGGCATGTGTTCAGATCCGTGCTCTATAGGATTCTAGGGAACACTTTGCTCTCTAAAAGAAGTCATACCTTTGCCCCTCCTGCAAGGTAAACATTTGATTCCCATGTATAGTGTTTAATTTGCTATTTCAAAGACGATCATGAGATACCTTGTGGAGTTCAAAGCAGAGCTTATGTTTGCACTGACAAATTTATTAAGCTGTTGGTCAACCTGTTGGTGACTCCTGCAGTGGGGTAAATGTGACAATGTGGAACGAAGGGCAATTAAGATTACTGCAGAGCACTCTGCAAAACATACTTCCTGCAGCACATGGTTATCTTTGCCTTTGGCACCAAACTTGTAAATGGATGTTTTTCACACATTCTTACACATTGTCATTAGTTAAAATAGTGCAATGCAATGTTTCCTAGTAAGATCAGTATTTTGCACCTTAATTCTCCCCCAGCCCCTACATTAAGCATTATTTTCTTTTATACTTTGTGGCTTTCTCAAATGTATTTTGAACTGCAGCCACTCGCATATGATGAAGTGAGAAGTGCTGGTTGTTATTCACATGCATTGAGAAACAAGTCTTCTCTTGCTTATTTTAAATTTTCTTCTCTAGGTTATAGTGCCTATGTATTTGACTTGACTGATGCCACATTATTAGAAAGTAGGTATTAAGCACTATCTATGTGTAGAAATAATATTTATGTGCTGAATCAACTAAGAATTTCATGGAGTTTCTGAAGCTTTTGAGCAGTATAGTACATACTCGAGGAAGAAAAAGCATTTAGGCAGTTAAAGGTATGGCTCTTTGGAGCTTATTTCCAGCAAATCTTTCCCATATGGGTTATTCATTCAAACAGCAGTGGAAATCTGCATTTTATTCATGACTGATGTGCCATTTTTCTTGTTGATTCTCTGTAATTGGGTTATTTATTGCACTGCATTACAGTGCAATAAATGTTGAGCATATTTGTAGGCACATTTTTTCCAGTTTAATAGTTTTGTATTAAATATAAACTGCTTGGGCATTTGTTGGAGGTGTATCAGATGACAGTCTATCAGGATATTATTTCATGCTTAAAAATTTAAGAGCATCCATGAGATGTAAAGAAATAGCGAGGCTGAGGTGGCCTGTCATTCTCTGCTCCATCATATGTTAATTAAGTTTCTGTTGTACCTCTTAAATTCAAGCCTGAACTTTGGGAATACCCAATTTTACAGGTATTTTTTGTCATGTGTGTGCAATGGGGAAGAAAAAAAATCCAGTCTTGAATATTTCCTTTCTGTCCATGCCATTTCTCTTTAGAAAGGTCATCCTGTGAAGGGCTTTTCTTATGAGCAAAGCTCGCTGGAAAGGGGTCTTGTTTCCAGACCAGTACATGAGTTTGGGTTACTCTGTTCCATGTTAGATTTGGAGTTCATTGAAATTATAAGCCCTAAAAAAATCATTTGATTGTTCCCTATTTGTTGCAAATAGGTTTAAGAGAGCACTGAAGGCAAACTAGGAGATTAACTGTTCCTCTCCCCCGAGACTAAACTTTTTTCTGGCTTTGCGGCCTTGCACATCAAGCAAAGTTACTTTTGCTTTGTTATTTTCAACTTTTTATTATAGGCGAGTTAACCCCTCTTGTTCATTGAGCTTTGATGCGAATAGTCAGTATTGTTTTGCCTGTTGACAAAGTCAGTATTGTTTTGTCTGTTCTTTTTCTTGAAGGAAGGCTGTTGCCATAAACTTGCTCCCTGGACTTGCGATAGCGCGGTGTGTCTGTGTTATGTGTTAGCACAACTGTAAATGCAAAGGATGAATACCTGTTTTTTGAAGCCCAGTCCAAGCCATTACAATCAGTGGGGCTTTTTAATAGCTTACTATTCATTTTGCTGAACAGCAAATTATTATGTACTTAAAATTCATGTTAGGCTGGTACATATGCCATGATTGTCTTGATTAAGTTTTTGAGTGAGGCTGCGATGTGTAGGATGACAGCTTATAGGGAAGCAAAAGGCAGGAGCACGCAAGTCAACTGAGGCAGTGCAATGGCACCTCTTGGCATCTCATGGGCTTGAAGAAGCTACTGTGTTTAAAAGTTATACTTGAAGCCAGTAGCACGCAGGGAAACAAGAGGCCAGCAGTATGCTTACACACCCAAAAACCGCCTACCTGGGTCAGCTGAAGGCAGCCGCTGCCATGAGACCAGGATAGCACCTAAAGTCACGCTTTTTGACCTCAACTGCTTCGTTACTGTCTTCCTATTCACTACTTCCCCTGCCTACTTGATTTACAAACAGGAAAAATCAGACTTATCTTCTGAAAAATAGGCTTATTTTCTCTTTGCGGCATACTTAAACCAAGTTTATTTTCCTCTTCTTTTGATAACCCACTGGCTGGTTTAAACCAGGTAGACTTTTGGTTGCTGCTTTTGACTCCCAGGAAGAGTTGAGTAGAGCTTTGTTCCCGTGTGGTTTGCCAAACAGGCGGTCTTGCCCAAAGCCATTGCGTGTAAGTCTCAAAGAGGAGTGAAACTTTAATGGAGCCTTATAAACACCAGACAGCAAATCTTAATAGAAGGCTTTTAAAACTGGAAAAGGAGTCAGCCTGAAAGAGGAAGCAGTACTGCTTACAGAGCGATACAACTCCTGGAGATTGAAAGTTACGTCAAGGCTGTGGCGTAACTGTTTTGGAGCAGATCTAGTCCAGCTGGCTGATGTAAGTGCTCGCCCGGTGTCAGAGCCAGGGAATAAGCTGCTTTAGTAGCTGTGGGTTAGGCTATTCATTCTTGTGTTGGGTTGTTCGGTGCCAGCTGCCCTCAATTCATCATGAAGTGAAATGAGTAATTACATTTAAAGCATTTTGGGAAACGTAAGGCAGCCTCTGCTGAAGTCTTCTTTCTTGGAAAGAAAACGGACAGAAAGATCAGGCTTCTACCGTCAGGAGAGGAAGGACCTGGAGATCCTTTCCTGATGGCAGTTTTACAAACTCTACCACTATGTAGCTCTCAACTTAAAACCTCCATTCATGCAGCCATATCAATACCTGAAGATCTCAGCTCTAAATTCATATAATGGTTTTGATATTTCACACGTAGAATAGTTTGAATTGACTCCTAAAGCTTAGACCCCTAAAAATGTAAAGTTTAGTTAAAAGTCCAACTTGTGTGTTTGTTTTGTGGTGTGTTTTTTTTTTTTTTAAATTTTTGGTGAGGGACAAGATGTGAACAGAACAAATATTTGGGATTCTTTTAGTACTTGTGGAAATAGATTTTTAAGAGGTGACTTTAACAGCCTAACACTGTAGGTCTGATTTTAGTTCTGTCACTTCTTTTTAGTCACTGTCTAAGTTCCCTAGAGAAATACTCAGGGAAAAACTTTCTTGAAAATTATGCTCAAGTTCAGTACTACCCAGCGGAGAAATGTCTGATGCAGAAAAGATGCAGAACTACTGAAGTTGTGCATGGAATAAAATTAGAAGTGTGTTCACTCAGTATCTTGTTTATGTGCTGCTTTTTGAAGCACTTAGGAAGGAAGAAAAGGAAGACTAGTACAATAGCTAAGAATGTTTTAAAATTAGGAGAAAACAATATAAAGATTTCAAGTATGGAGGATTACATTAAAAAAAAAAGCCAATGTTTTCACTTTATCTCATTGTGTTATTGCATTCTTTGCTGGTTTTTAAATTCCTTCAAAGTTAAATACTAGCTAATACTAGCTGTACGTGTTTACTGGTGGGATTCGCTCGTGGTGTTCCTCATCAACCACAAATCTTTAAAAGTGCCGTTGACTGAATTAAGGCTGGCAGTTCTTGATGGCCCTGTTCTAACCCTGTGTGCAGTGATATTTGTCCTGAAAGATGGATGCTGCTGTATAAACAGTTCTGTATAGTAATGCATAGGTGATTGTGTGATTATTAGTCTTCTATTTTCATAATCTTAAAAAAAAAACCCACCCAAAAACAAACAAAAAAACTCCTGTTCTTTTTGTTTTGTCTCCCAAGAAACACAGGAATAGCCAAGGTAGAAATAGTTTGGTTGATTCTTTGAAAATAGTTGGGAAAGGCATCTTGCATTCATTTTTTTTAAGAAAAATCTGGTTATAATGTCAATACATATGTTGACTGAGAACCCTGAGTTTCATAGTGCCAGGGGCTTCATGAGTTAGTTTAAAATTAGTGTGAAAATAGTTGCAGGATCTTCAGAGGCAACCCTTTATGCAGATACAACTTTCTCGTTATTGGCTTTGGATTAAAAATATAGATGTGAAAACTTTAATCTCTTCAGTAGTTATAAACAGTGGGATATGCATGGAATTATTCAGGAAAATGAACTGCTTAACAAAGAAATTTCAAAACCTAGGCCACAGGAGACAAATAGCTTATTTTTCTTGCTATTCTGAGACTTAAAAAAAAACAACCCAAAAACAAAAAAACCCAAAAAACAACAAAACAAACAACACCCCCCCCCCCAAAACACCAATGCAAAACATTGGAGGGTCTCTTTTTTTGATGTAGTAGATCTCCTTTATTTAGGGCAAAATAAGTGTGGGTGTAAGTTCCCCAGGATTTATCAGCTGAGGAATAAGCTTAGCTCTAAAGAAGTGAACGAAGGAGCCTACAGAAGAAGTGGGAGAGGTGTGTCACTCGGCATGCTGTGTTATGGTCATGCTGTGTTATGTTCTTTGCAGTGATGTGAGACAGAGAATTCAAGAAGGGATCGCTCAGGCGTTTGGTATCAGCTCTGCTTCCATGTACCTGACTAAGCCAACGTTCTTCTCGAGGATAAACAACACAGAAGCCAAGACAACACATGACGAATACTGGCACCCACACGTTGACAAGGTGAGTGGGAGGCTGAGATGGGATGCGAATGTTTCCTGTTATTATTAGATCATTTGAAGCTATTTTACATTAAACAATCAGTCAAGCATGTTTGAAAACTGGCGCTTGTAAAAATCCTTTGGGGGATGAACCTAATGGAAAGATAAGTGAGTTTTAGAAACATAGGCCATTGCATTCCTCTTCATTTTATTTTCCCTGGTTTAGTTCCACTCGAATTACTAAAATGTGTGAATGACTACTCAGGAATCTCTTCTGTCAGAAACTGATTAAATTAATCTGCACCTACAAAGTGTTTGTTCCATCAAACCTGTTTCCAGTTAGGGTATTGCTCTTTCAGCCAGGTCTACAGGAGCTATTTCAGAGTGGTCTCCTAGTTGATCTGAGCCTCTTCATAAATGCTTAACAATTTATATTTCATTTCTATGCGAATTGAGGCACTTTTACTGCATGTTCTTTGATGGGGATATGGTAACCTCTTTCAATAAGTCAATGTTTGTTGGTTTTAGAATGGAAGTGTTGTGACTTGCTTTTAACTGTGAAGTCTTCTACCTGTAGGCTCACAGCGTAATACTTTGCATTTCTCAATGGACTTAAATGATTTGGGATTGATATTGAGTTTATTTCTGAATGTAACTCAGTTCAAAGGTTTTGTGCAGCACAGCAGAATGCAAACTAACAATAGAAGACTCAAATAGAAAGGAAAAACCACAACCCACCAAACCCCAACCCAAACAAACAAAAAAAACCCCTACACCAGAATACCCACATTTCATGTCTTTGGTGTTTTAAAAATTAGAGTCATTATAGAGTCACAGATCACCCAAGATGGAACCAAAGAAAACTTATCCCATCAAAATCTAAGTTACGCCTCAGTGCTAGAGTCTGTCTCCGGGCAGTGTACCTTGAAGTCTGTGACCTGAAACATCTAAGATGAAAAAATCAAACAGAAAAATATTCCTTGCCTTGAAAATATTTCCTGGAAAAAGTCAGTCTGAGGGAAGTACAGTGTCTGTTGTTGCTCATAACACTAGTGCAAGTTCCTGTGCCCTTTCTTGTCATGTAGGGCAGGAGCAGCTGAAATTTAGAAAGTGTGGTGACTGATCACCGATACAGCTGCTCTTTGAAAGAAGAAAATAACGCAGGGTGGAATTTGCAGTCGCAAAGACAAGACCAGCTTTTGGATGCTTCTTGTTTCAAAAGCTGTGATTTAACCATTGAATAGGAGTGGACCTAGCACCAAAGGTGGTTTTGAGGTGCAGATTATTTTGACTAGTGCTGGTAGGAACTGGTTGTAGGGAGCAAATTGTGCTGGGTGGGGTTCATAAGAATTCTATCACATGTTGTGCTCATTTCCAAGAGATGCCAAATAAACTAATGATTGTGGTTGTGTGACGTGCAATAAATTCATACGTTCCTCATAGTGTTTTCACACTTTCAGAGAATTGAACTTGACTGTCACAAGAGAAAAGAAAGCAGTAAATTTCAATAGCTGATGGCTATTTTCTGAACTCTTTTCTTTCAGCCCCAAAAAGCGTATTTCAGAATTTCAGACTGATTTATTACTATAATGAGATTTGTGTCTGCACAAGCATTAGGCTTGCCAATGTTCTCTAGTATTTTCTGCATGTGTTTTGCATTGGTAAATGAATAAGGCACTTGAAACACTTAATTGTAAGGGTATCCTACCTAAATTTCTCCCATAATGTAAAAGTTATTTTGTCATTCAGAAGCAAATCTGTTTCCATGAAGATAATTTATTTCCTTTGTAGAAGCTGCTTCTCTGTAACAGCATCCTGACATTGCCTGTGCATGATGGACAGCAGGCTAGATGTTTTGCTGGTTTTATCCACCTGTTTTGTCCACATTTTGTTTATCTCACAGGCTGTCTATTCAGGGAGCAGATACATCAACTGATTGGCCTTGGCTTTTTTTTAACCCACCCCCAGCTTCAAAAAAAAAAAAAAAACCACAAAAAAACCCCAAACAAAAAAAAACCACCAAAATGTGGTCTCTTAAACTTGCTATGCATAACCTAAACCTTAATAGTTTCTATACTGAATAATTGGGTAGTCTGATTTATGACAACAGCGAAGGGATAATTATCCCAGTTGGGGCAGTTACCGAACACCTTGTTTGTGATCATGTAGAACTTGCCCGTGCCGCCCCCCGAAATAGCATACCTGCTGTAAAATATGAAAATGAGACTTATGCTAAATTTCAAGATATTTTTTGAGAAGTATTGTTTACATCACATTGGGAGTTAATTGTAGCTTGTCCTGTTTCTATAAGTAGCTTGGACACTTTTTACTTCTGTAGCAGCTGATTTCTGCAGCGAGGTGTCTGTCTTGAAAGCTAAAAGCATTCAGACCATTGAAGTGCTCTTTGTCTGTGCCTTAAACTCACGTTTTAGGTTTGAATATATTTTAATGTGGTTATTTACGTTCTTGTTCAAGAGCATTCTCGCAGTAAGGGTTGCATGTGAGTGGGCCAGAGTTGGGCCACTGTCTGCGCCATCGTGATGGCAACACTGCATGCTGAGCTGGGAGCCCTGTGTGGATCAGTTCCCTTTCATTTTTTTGGGAGAGCACAAGGGAACGGATCTTCCGTGGCCCCCAGCCACGGTGAAGGGGTTTTGTGGGTGCTGTGGAATAGAGACTGAGAGCAGAATTCTTGTAGGGGCTTCTTGAGCTCATGACTTGGAGCTCCATTTCTCACTCTTTGGTCTTCACATGGAGCAGATGCTGTGGCCAGTGCAGAGGGTGTTGAAGAGAGATGGAGAAGCCACTAAGGGCTGGGATCATTCGTGTGGAGACTGCCCCAGCTCAGTGGTTCCTCCCTTCTCTAGGATAAAGGACTTGCCAGATAATACTTCTAGGGTTTAAATGATAGCAGTTTGCATTGCCTGGGTGAAAATTCAGAGGTGGAACCAGGCTAATGCTGCCTTAAATAGGGTCTGGTAGAGATACATCCTTTGATCCTGTTCACTTCATGTCCCTCATGAAAGTCCAAATTACATCATCATGTATCACTGGTTGCCTTTGCTTCTGGTACATCACTCACTTGAATTGGCATCAAGGGATTAATTTGAATCCTTTCCTTGCTGCACAAACAAGCTTTTAATTCCTCTATCCTCTCTAACTTGTGTTTGTCTGTCAAAAGGTCTGGTGTTATTTTCCCCTTAAGTGCAATTGGAACAGAGCTGTCTGTGGATGTAGCATTCACATACGTGCTTGCCAGATCATGGCTTACAGAAAATGTTACGGTATGTGTAGAATACATCTGCATATAATTTTAGTCTACTGTAGGTGTACATTATGTATATCTGTATCTATATTGTCACATGTTTGGAAGCAGGTACAAAAGTATTTATAGTTGATGAGGCTATACAGGAGAGTGAATTCAAATAGGAGGTCAGTAGGTCAGAAAATATTTCAGAAGAAATAGGATAGACAAGTTGTGTAGATTCACAGGTTGTCTTCAGTGCAGTCAGCCTGCCTTGTATTTTAATTTCTCCAACAAACTAAGTTTTGCTTACCATTTCCAGACTGCTGTTGAAAGCAAGGAAAAAAAAAATGCATTGCTATTGATTTGAGGTAGGAAATACTTCTCGGGTAAGAGCTACAGTATTCTTATGTGGCCTCCAAATTAAGCATGAAGACTAGGGAGTTGAAGAAAGATCAATAAAACGCAGCATGTTAAAATTTTTCCTGTTTGTTGGATGCCTCTGTTTTATCATTATTTATGATTTTCCCCTTGGAATAGGACAAATCACTTCATGTATTTCTGCATAATAATTAAATGGTGAAGATTGTTCCTAGAAGACTTCAGGATTTATTTTTTCCTCCGGCTTTTTCCAAAAGAAAGGTAAAGATCAAGCCTTTGAAAAATTGACCTGACACATTTTTTGTTTCAAAGCCTGACTCTGTTGGTTCAAAGATGTAGGCTTCTTGGACCACATGAATACCCCTCTTGCCTTTTTCCCTATATTGCTGAGTCTATTGCAATGACATTTTTCAATCTGGATATCCTTGGTTTGGAATATTTTAACTGCATAATGGAGTAGCACAGATCTATTGTGTCTGTCTGAGGCTTAGGTTTTTTTTCCTGAAAATTTATTTGGTTTTTATTACATAGGAATGGAAACCCTGAAATCACCCAAATGACTCATTTAATCTTGTTGAATTTATAAGCATCTAAATCAAACAAAGAGGGTGTTTGGCTTAAGATGTGGAGTTTCATCTTGCATGGAATTTGTTTGGAACTGAGCCTTTCAAATGTCTGATTTCTAATGGAATTGCTGTTGCACACTCAACTCTGACAGCAGTGTAGTCTTACAGTGTTCTCTAATAGAAGTGATGCAGGACTTGAAGATTTCTGCAGTCCCTGTCTGGACAAGGATCCTGTCGTCCTTCACGAATTGTCAGGCTCCACCATAAGATCAGTTTTGGTTTGTTTTCCTTGAATTTCTTCTATAGGAGCTACTCCAGGACTTCAGTGCAAATTTTCTTGATTATTTTTTTTTTTTTTCAGCCTAAACTCGTTCATGATCAGTTTATAGCTAATTTTTTCCCCTGTCCTCCCATCCCCATGTATTTATGGGTAGCAATCATATCCCTTTTCAGCCTTTCTTTAAGCTGAACAAGCCAAATCTTCAAGTCTCCTTACCTGCAATGCGCTCTCCATCTCCCTAACCCTTCTAGCAGCCCTCCCCTCTGCTGGTCGAGGCTATCGCTGATAGCCGCTGTTATCTGTTGTAGCAGACTTCTCGCTCTTCTCTTTCTTCCCCCCATGTTGTTAGACTTTTAATGAAATACATCAAAAGACCTTACTTCTGTCTTAGGACAGCATCATCTTTGAAATCCGAGGAAGTTCATTCTTGTTTGCTCAAACCTGTTACCTTGGCTCACCTAAAGCCCCTTGTAATTCAGAGACATGCTATTTGCTGTCTCACATTGTCTACTAAATAGATACTACCAATATATAGAACATTGGAAGTAGCTATCAAGGCTGTTTTTGTCATTATCTGTACAAAGAGATAGGTAGAGGCTTATAGGAAAAGAGCAGTTTTGACTGTGTTTCTACAAGATACCACGCTAGACCTATGCTGATTGGGAAGTGAATACGTTTGTATTTTCTTCTGCAATGGAAAGCAGAGGATGCTGTCCTGCACAGCTTTCTTAGTACCTGCAGGCCTACTACATATTCCTACAACTGCTCAGTTGCATATCAACACATGTCCCTCAAAAACCCAAGGGTGCCATACCGCAAAGCGTGGTTGGCTCATTCGGACAGTTAGTTGCATTTATAATAGACTTCAAAGAAATATCATAAAAATATCATTATGAGCATCTACCATTAAATATTAGCTGTGTTTGACTTATTTGGGTAAAGGGTGCTCAAAAAGAGCACACTAACTGTATGAAATATCAGGCTGAATGGAAATGCTGCATTTTTTTTCAATTGAATTGTTCATAAGGAGCTATGGAAACTTGATTTGCTGCGGTGTGCCTGTATGGCTTATCGCCTGGCTTTTGTGACTGCTTTTCTCCCACAGTTTGAACTTGCGGCTTAATTATTAACCTTTCTGGTATTGGAAATCGTTACCAGGGTAATAAATATATTTGCTATACATGGGGGGACTTCTAGCATTTTAAATAACTGAGTATAATTTAGTGCCTCCTTTTCATAGCACTGCATTTCTCAGGCCAGGCTGCCTTCTGAGAGTTAGCCATGAACAAGAAGAGGAACAGAAAACCCATTTTCCATTGCATACTTGGTTCCCCAAATTAGTTATCTGTAGAAATCGGATGTGTTTGGTTAGGGTAAAATGGTTTGTAGTCAGCTCTCGAAAGTTCGGAATTGGTAAAGCCGCCTTGGAGAGGATGGAGGGTGCACTGATGGAGCAAAGGTTGGCACTCATAAAAACGATTCTAATGCATTTGACTCGCAAGTATGAGTTGAATGAACTTCTTCACTATGTGAATACCTTCACTGGTCAGAAGACTTGGTAATAAAACTTCCAGTCAGTTTAAGGAAATCAGTGAAGGTGAAAATAGCTTTGCAAAGCTGATAGGAGGGCTGCGGAGTGACTGTTTTGAGGTGCTGCAGTACCACGTGCTCATTAATTCCCATTTATTGCCTTGTATTGCTACTAAGGTTTGGGTAAATATGGGAAGAAGGGGAGAATGAGAATTTCTCTCATTCTTGTGATTCGGACTGTGTAGTGCAGCATATCACCGGATTTGGCTTTTTTCCTTTAAGCCCTTATGGTCAAAATAATAAAATGAGTAAGAATGAAAATGTCTCCCTATTCCATCTGCTGCTGTGTTCTCTTTAGTCATTGCCCTTACCGAATAATATGTACAACTGCTGTTGAGCCAAAATTTAACTGGCACTAATGAATGTAACTTAAAGCAGAACTGAAAATATTTAGAAAACTCCTAAGTTTGGAAGTAGCACCTACCTCTAGCAGTCAGCAGGTCAGTCAAAACACTGCAATGTATTTATACAGTACTGCTGTGCTGCACATTTCACTGCTCGGCGGTGAAATGCAGAACTTGATTGAGTTGTGATATACTGTAAAGAAATTGGATGATTCAACCATTGATATTAAGTATATTTTTAGATGTTGGCGACATGCAGATATGAAAAGCAAATATTTTCAGAATCAGCTAAACTCGGTGTTAAATATTTAGATAGTTTCACTCTGAGCATTAATATATAGTATTTCTTTTCTCCATCTTCAGCATATGTATCAGGCAAAAATAATACTTTAAAAGGAAGGAAAATCACAGTGTTATACTTCAAAATGGGGTGTTTGGTCTGTAGGCTGAGAAGAAGCAGAGACTATGAAAGTCGCATTTGAAGATTTTTAAACAAAACCTGTATGGAAAAGAGTAGAAGTTCTCTAACAAATGTGTGTTCACTTGGAAGGTCTGATTCACTGTTACCATGAAGCTCCTGTACGGTAGCTGGTGAAAGAGTAAAAGGTGGAGTTTCCAGAAACCTCTAACCATGACTAGATAATGGGTGGAATTAATTAGTCAAAGGCTGTTCTTGGGTCTCATGAACCTTATGGTGAAATTTTATCTTGAAATAGTATAAATAGGTCTGAGCCCTTCTATATTTGTAATACACTGCAGAAGTGTAAATTCTGATGCTACCTTGGGTTTTGCTAGCTGTTTAGTAGACTTATGGTGATAGAAATCAATAGGAATGAGCACTTTAATTCTGGAAAGTGTAATAATAAATGTAACATGCTAGTCTTGTATGTACTGTGTGCAAACATAATATGATAGCCTAATAAGCATGTATCACTTCTAGAAAGGAATGTTCTCAGCTTTCAGAGACCCCTTTATTAAATACATGAGAATTGGAAAATTAGAAAAACCCATTAGATCCACCTGCTTAATTATGTGTGCTCTGCAGAGATGAGAGTAAGAATTAGTAATTTTTGGTAATGTTGTCTTACTCGTAGGTAACTTATGGCTCTTTTGACTACACTTCACTGCTCTATCTCTCTGACTACACTGAGGATTTTGGTGGTGGCCGGTTTGTGTTTATGGACGCGGGTTCCAACAAGACGATAGAGCCCCGAGCAGGTAAGAGTGTTGGTTTGGCTGCATTGAGGTTGGCCAAACCATGTCCTTTATTAGCTGGGGTGGGCTGGTGGGTGCAGCGGGACTTTTTGTGTCAGCAGTAACTGTGGAATAATGCCACATTTTGTCTTCAAATTGATTACATAAAAAGTAAAGATTGAAAATGCTAAACTGGGGCCACAGTTTGAAAAATCTGGAGTTAAGCCACACAAAGTGACTTCCTTGAAAGCTGTGGGGCTGAGAACTGCAATCCAGTTATGACAGCTTAGCAGGTCCCAATGTGTCAGGAGCAAAGATAACTGTGTGACTCCAGCAAATCCAAAAGAAAACAATTTATTTTAGACTGTCTGGCCTGAAATTCCTCTGCTGTTCAAGGTGGGGCTTAATACCCTATAATAACTGTGGGCCAGGTGTGAAGATGATTGATTACCGCAGCTCTGCCAACCTGCAGGAACACGATGAACCAGGGTAACTTGGTTATAAGTCCATACCTGCTTTCAGTAGATCTGACAGGGATGAGCATTCTGATGGCTGTCGGTCATACCGGAAAAAAAAGCTTTTCCTTAAGGCTGGTTTAAGATTTTTCTACTGTGGATTATTTTAAATTGGAATTACTTTGGGGCAATATGCTTAGGAAGAAAGAGCTCAGCTTCAACTCATCTGTCTGGTGGGTGAGTACTGAGCTTACAGCAGTGTAACCTCTTAAAATGCAAGACCAGTCGCACTTTTGCAGGAGGGAAAAAAAAAAAATCAAGGATAACTTTATATTCCTACTGTGTTCCATCTCTTTTACCGGAGAGAAAAGATGGAAATTTACTCATTTAAAGACAGCATCAGTAATTGTCTGCTGACTGACATTACCCCAAGCAGAACTGACTTTGTGCAGGAGGGGCCTGCAAATGGGGATGGTGTGGGATTTGTGTGTGTGTGTGTGGTTTTTTTTTTTTTTTTTAACCACTCACCAGCAGTAATTCTGGTTTAGATAAGATCTGAGATTATCTGCATTCTGGGTTTGGTATCAGGAATTCTATGTTTGATTATTTTGGCTTTTGTGGTTGGAAATAAACTGAAAGTATCATCTTTTAGCAAAGTGCTGCCACCAGTATTTCGAAAGGGACTACATTAAACTATTTCATTTCCAGATGCAACTCTAAGATTAACATGTTTTTATAGCTGTAGAAATCATAGTTGAGTTCTAGGTAGCTGGGAGGACAGCTGTCTCCTCACACAGTACGAGGGCACTCAGTCCGATGCTGTACGCAATGTGCCCCTGACTTAATTTCAAAAAGTCTGCAACTGTGAAATTGCTGCCGTTCAGCCCCATCTGATTAATTTTCAAGGTCTGCTGCAAGGTAGTTCGCTCTTTGTCGTTCTTGGGGAGGAAGGGGGAGCAGATTAAATAGAGAAACGATTTTTAACAGCCCCTGGTTTTGGCCGTTCCCTTTCACGGGTGGTTGTATTGACAGTATGTGTGCCACAGAACGGGTTAAACGCACCTCCTACAACAAACCAATGGAAAGCTTGTAGGGAATGGCCTTTTTTGAAAGGCCAAATGTGCTGCCTGTACACAACGGCAAATTAAGTTTAATGCCACTTACACCTTTCTAACACAGTCCTCTGTCTAAACACAGTTGTCAGGGTTCCCTTGATTGTGTCAGTACCTGTGGCGCAGTCTAAATAACTACGAACATCCTGGGAGACGAGGAGAAAAGCTTCAGAGGTGAAGCTCAACATGAAGGCAATTGCACTTAGCTTTCCTCTTGCTGTTAAAATGCAGCTTGTGAACAAGGGAATGACTCCAGGGTGTTTTGCTGTTGCTGGTACAAGTTGATGTATTTTTCATGTTCGGAATGTTCCTTTGCAGTATTTTTTCTCTCCTTCCCTCTTTGGTGTGGGGTTGTTTTTTTTTTTTTTCCGTTTGTTTTATGCTTCTTTTGATCCTTCGTACTTCACTTGTCACTCCAACCCAACTTTTAAAACCATGCGTTGATAAGCTTTAATGCTTCTCGTTTAGGAGATTCAGGCTTTTTTTAGAGATGTCTGTCGTAATGGCTGGTTCCATTTTAGTGAATGACAGCTAATTTACCTTCTCTGTATTGCTAATGCTACTTTGGTTCCAAAACCTGGCACTTCTTGTTGTTTCAAAGTTAGTCTGCATTTTGGGAACCTGGTACCATGTACCAAAATGAGCACATTCCTTTTTCTGTGAGCAGTAACTTATTAGTCAGGCTTTACAGTAGGGAACAGAAAAGCATTGTTATTGAGGCAGCACAGCAGAAAAGCAGTAATTTGAAATACAAAAAGAGGAAAAAAAGACAATTGGAAATAAAACATTGGGATTTTCTGCGTTTGGGAGTGCTGCCTAGGCAAGTCCCACTGCTGCTTCAAATGCTTTCGCAGCACTTAGCACTTAAGGATCAGTCTTAGTCAGACAGTTGGGGAGAACTGTTTTGTTAGAAGTGGAGCCTAATTTGGAAACTCATCACTTCTCTAAGGATGTATCACTGGTGGATTGTGTAAGAAGTCTGCAAGTCCCAATTCTCACATATGAGTGAAAGTTTCTCAGTGTAATTTGTAGCATGGTATATAAAATTGCCTAGTTCAATTATTAACAAATGCCTCTAGTTTTAAGAAGGAATTACAAGTTATTAACCTAGAGGCTCTTGAGGTTATTTTTTTTTTTTTTCTTTAATGGATGTGAACAAGTCAACACTGTGATGCCAATTCACATGTACAGACCTTTGGCTAATTCTTGACCAAATGTGGCATTAGGAAACACCTCTTTCCTGTGCCCTGATGGGCTTCAGAAATATTTATGTGTCTTTTGACTTAAGTCAGGACCTCTCTCTGCAGAGAAACTCACTGTACCATGAGTAAGAGAATTCTTAGTGCCAAGTGAAATATTACTTTGAAAAGAAAACCTTTTTTTGGACAAAGAAACAGTTGTGAAGTAGTATCTATTGTTTTTAAATGTCTATGTGAATTCTACTTCCAAAATTGTCATAGTGGCATTTTTTTCCATCCTTTGCACCAGGCGTAGCTCTTTTCAAGGGACAAAAAGAAACAGAGCAACAGTTAGAAGGAGGTCCTTCAAAACAAAACCCACAGCCCTTTAACTTTCCTTTGCTTGCCTGAGACTGTGTTTAGTACCCTTCGATAGATACAGGAGGATTAAGAATAAATGGCAGACATCAAGGCATTCCTTTTTCAGTGATAGAATTGGCATATGTTCTGCTGTCACTAAATTTGTCAGTGTAAACCGTATATAAAATGTCATCATTTTGGAGAGTCTTGTGTGAATTTGGGGACTGGCAATATTAGACAGGTCACAGACTTCACTTTATGCTACAGTGTAGATGAAACCCTACAGTTGGGATGAAATCTCAGTACCACTTGTGTGTTCCTTATTTGCATGTGCATTTCTGTTTTGCATGTATGTTTCTTTGTTTCAAGGTCAGCTTTGCTGCACTTATTTTTCCCTCACAATGGAGTTTGTTCTTCATACAAGTTGTTTAGTACATAAGGGTAGAAGGAAAGGTCGCAATCACTTCTTCTGTGTGTTTGTGGAAGAAAATCTATGGTGCAAAATTAATTCTGTACATTGGAGAGTGAAATGAGACTTCTCCTTGAATATCAAACTTAGCATATCTTCATAGCTGTCAGGAGTGTGTGCTTCTGAAAGTGTAAAAATATTTGAGATGAAGGTATGAGCTATTTGGGGGAGCTATGGGGACTTCTTCATTTAGAATGGAAAAAAGTGCATGCTCCAAGCCTGAGCTGTTAGTGTTTCTGCTCAGGTAAGGAGGAGCACACATTTAAGAATGCATACGCAGCTTTCCTGTAGTGCAGGAGGGGGTTTCGGGGTGTCTGTGTGAACATTCACTGAGATAAGTGTAGCTTTATTGCAGTGGTTGGGTATCACCTGACTGTCAGATCCTGCAATCATGAGAATAATTGCGGTACTCAAAAGTTCAGTGGTGGGAATTTGTCATATCTTTATTTTATTGTGCTCTTTCTGGCAGAATTAGCTACTAAAGGCTGAGGGAACGCAGCAGTGGCAGAAAGTGCAATGATGTGACAAGTAAGACTTCCAGATTCAGAAGTCCCATAACAACATTAACACGAGGTGTGAAAACTGTGTTTAAAGCATATATTTAGTAATCCATCTTGTATCATGGAATAGTGGACTTTTTTTTCCCCAGTGAATTATAGGGAATCTGATTTTTCTCTACATTTATTCCACATCATCCAGGTTCAGTCTAGATCGTGATAATCTTCTGGCATTCCTAGCTTTAGTTTGGCTCCAATCAGTAAAACTGGAAGACACCTTGATGTTAAATCACTAACAACTGAAAGTTGAGAATGATTAAAAAAAAAAAAAAAAATCCACAGAAGGTAGCTTCCAGTCTGAGAGAAGAATAAATGGAGCTGGCATTAGCAGCTGCAGTAATAATGAGCTATGCAAAGTTCACGGGTCGTAGGAGAGCAATTCGTTCTGATTTGCAATACTTATCACAAACTGTACCTGGGACTGGTAAGATGATTGCAAAGAGAAGTGATAGAAAAAGGAGGACTTGTTGCAACTGTGACAAAAATATGCAGCAAATAGCTCAATAGCTCCTCATTTCTTTGTAGAACTCTAAAGATTTTCTTTTGCTTTCTGTTTTGTCTTCTGTGGAAAGATAACTGTCTTCCAGGCTCTGGTTTTATATTCCAGCAGTGCTTGATGATAGGTTTGTGATGGCATTAAATGAAATAATCTTTTAACTGGGCCCGTGAAGCAATAGGTATCTGGGAGGCGCAGGTCAGACCTGGACTTTACATAATGCTCATATGGATTTCCTCATACGAATCCACTGTCTTGAGGGCATCTGTTACTGAGGATAGTGAGGGTTACTCTACGCTAGCTGGACCACTGGAAGGATTGAGGAGTGCTGGGGGGACAGGGGGAGCCAAACAGATGACCCGAGTTCCAGTGCTCCACAGAGCATGGTCAATATTGA